TTTTTTTTCGTATCAGAAAAATCTATGTGGATTGGCTCTTCAGGATGTGTAATATTGAATACTTTTGGAAGAGGAAGTAGATTGGCCTGTCCCCTTGCACCACCTCAAAACTACCGTTCGGGCTGTTTTCTGGCCCGTATTTCTTGGGCCTGCACTGCACATAGGTTTTGCATGGGTATTTACTACTTACCATGATTTTTGTTGTTTGTTGATCTCAAATCAGGTCTGACGAAGGTGCTGCTGTGTTTTTGGAGTCCGCACAGTAAGAAAGTTGCTTTTACAGCATTTTGCATCTGAGAAGTGGCTGACACGTCGTTAACTTTTCGCTCCGTCCGAGTGCACAGCGCTTCTCAGCGAGACAGCCATTGCCGACGTCTTCAATGTAGGGTTCAACTGTTCAACACACCCCGTGGTTGCCACTGCTATCAAGTCTTTTCCATCTGAGAAGTTGCTTTGCATTCATTTACTAGTAATTATCCTTTGAGTTACTTACTTATAAACATATACATCTTGGTTTTGGACCTATCTTGTGCCCTATACGTCCGTAAAGCGTCATGCCACCAAAGTTGATCGACCGTTTGATGTTTGTAACTTATCATTCAACCACTCCAAAACTTACTTTGGTGGCGCAGTACTTGTCCTCAACAGTGCGTCAACAGGAGCCTTTCACTTTCCAGTCTCACAAATGAAAAGCCATGGGAACCTACTCTTTGGCTGGAGTTCTGCTTATAGGTCTCTCCCATGTGCTTTACTTAAAACCACTCTTGATAGGCAAAGGCGTGAGGTGGGTTTGAGGTCATTGCTACTAGGTTGGAGGCCATCGCTACTAGGTTGGAGGCCATCACTACTAGGGTGGCCTCCACCCTAGTAGCAATGGCTTCCACTAGTAGCTTGGCCACAGAGGGAGGAGGCTTCTTAACGATGACCTTTACGAGCTCAGCTAGCACAACACAATATGCCAACACCCACAAAGTCCAGTTGGACAGTTGATACTCACCCTGGAAATAACATGGAAGTGAAAAACCCCTTGTTTGTAGAGGAACACGGTCTTCCTTTTGGGCGCTATTCAAATCCATGGGATTGTATCTGTTGGCTTCATGTCTCAGCCACGCTCTCCTTTCCCGTCTAGACCGGTCGCCGTCTGACCCGTCATGCCTAGGAACTCCCTTCGGTTCCAGCGGTCTGCACTTGGTTGGTTCTACGTTCTACCGTATGCCGGTTGCTTCACCCGCAAAGTTGCTGCACCTCCAAGCTCTCTGAAAGAGCTGGCCCACCAAGAAACCTGACATTCTAAAGCCCAAACACCCAACACCATAGAGCGTGGTCCACACTTATTCACTTCGATGTGCATTGTGATTCACCAGGTGTGGAAGAAGTTAAAGACACATCAAATCGCTCAGGCGGGCGTAGACGTGGATGGTGCCAACCTCTTTGGGCAATCTGCATGCTTCTTGGCCGAATGGTACGGCCACAGCCCAGCCGTGGCATCTCGGACCTCCGCTTAAGCGGCGCGCGGTCGAGAACGGGAGTTTCCAGGGAAAACAGGTCGCATGGGACCAGTTCAACTGGGAGAATGGTAGCACACCTGTATACAGCGACCTGTAAAGGTTCGTGACCTGTACATCCGCCTCGAACTTGTGACCGAAGCAATTCAGGTAGATCGTTCGTTCGGTCACGAGTTCGGAAGAACCAGGAGGTTTTGTTTTTTTCAGGACATGACTCATGACTGATCATTTGACATCATGGGACCTACAGTAATACCATGTAATACCTTTGATGCCAGTGGCGCGAATGACATCCGGGCTTTTTTCACAGGTGTTTCCTGCTAGCTGGAAACCCGAAAATCCCCAGTCCCAGCCATTGGCTAATTGTAGGGGATCTGAATTGCCATCTATGTATTTGGTTTTGGGTAACCGACGAGTGGTCTGACGCAAAGGAAAACGGTCGTCGACCTCGTTGGGATCCGATGAAGTGGATCCAATCGGTCCAGATCTGAACCGGTTCGTTTTCGGACTTTGACGACATGCTTGGGGCCATGACGACTGACATGGCCAGGACGGGTGGAAGACATTCTCAGTTTTGGCGACCCGGATCTCCTACAGAATCTAGCGGGGAGAAGTTCTCCTCTTTTGGATCTACAGAATCCCTGGTCATTAATGCTCTAGGACCATTCGAACCGGATGTCCTTTGGCCACCACTTCGATCATTCGGTTTCTCCCCTCGCGTGTCCTAAGGACCTGCTGAAGTCCTATGGCGCGTTGTCTGTGACACGACCTGAACGACCTGAACTGCCACGGTGGCAGCCCAGCCTGTCGGACCGCCAGGTGGAGGAGCTGCCAGGCCGGTTGACCCAGGACATGTTGGGTGGGAAGAATTGGGAGGCGATGTCAATCCTGACTCCTGTTCCTGTGGAATAAGCATCATCAATAATCTGACCTTTTTGCTTGCTATACGGTTACAATCGGTTATAAATACTGTCGCGATACTGTCGGGGTTTATAAGGGCTTCTCGGCCGGTCTTCGGCCGCGGAGCCAGCCTGACTGCCTAGTCCAATGGCCATGATCAACAAATAATTACCAGCAATACCCCACTTGCATACCCCTTATCTTGAGTAATTCAGTGGTATGAGTTCCCCATCCCTCCATACTAAGCCTGAATGGGGTATGCAACTGGTCCATTGCCTATACGCTGCCCATATTTACCATCTACGGTGACTGCAGAGGCACAAGGTGGTTTGCAGGAGTCGGAGAACGTCACTTTGTCGTTCTTGTTCCTGCGCGGCACAGGAAACAGCTGGCTTTTGGAACGCAGCTTTGAGGAGGGCGGTGCCCGGTGCTCCGAAAAGGGGCTGTTTCGCACTGCACAAAGAGAGCTTTCGGGACCCACGCCGTGGTTTTGGGGCCAGCGGAGGTCGCCCCAAACGGCACTGAACATGAGTCCAAAAACCCAGTAAAACCGACCTGGTCTTTTACCTCCTTAAGTCCTTAAGTATGGGTTTTGTATGACGACCATCTCCAGTAAAAATGAGGGAAACCTATCCAGAGCAGTAATTGCGGGGTGAAGGATTCGTTCGATTAATTATAAGGTTAGTTGTCAGATGTTGTCAGCAACTGTCAGAATCAATTAGCTACCAGGAGTCACAAAGGGTGCCTATTGGAGGATAGGGGTGCCCATTATCCACCCACTTAAGGACTAAAAAACATCCCTTGTGACTCCTGGTATATTACGTTTTCCTTTGGAAAAGCGGTGCGAGCATGTAGACCAGTTTCATCAAGTTTCCATTTTTGGCTTGGGAAGATCTGTTGCACGCAGCTGTGATCAACTATGGTTTGTACAGACAGCTCCATGGCTGGCTCTCGAGCTATTGATTTCACCAGGCCAAGCATTCTGCCATAGCCTCCTTCGATCCTCGAATGCATCGTCCAAACAATCGCCTCCTCCAGGAGGCTTTCCTGAGGGAGTTCGACTCCTTGGCTGCACGACTACCTGTCCCAGACATGGAGGCGAAGAATGGGCGAAACATGAGCCGTGTTTTGGACGGAGTAAAGATGAATTGATTCCAACAATCGCAGGGTCCATGTCCATAAATTTAAAAGATTACAGGATATTACAGGTGAGTTTCCTCCCCTCCAAGTGAATCTCTCGGGCGCCTAAACATCAGCCACTATTACAATTCTTATTTTCCAATACGCGGCCTCCCACTTCTATGGAGGTCTTAGAAACGTGTTCTGATTTTGTCCATCCTCCTTACCTAACTCTTTATGAAATGGGAATCCTATAGTCTGATATATTCTCTGGTTTTTCCATTTTATACACACAAGTCCCTTATAGAAACACTTCAGCTCACAAAAGGCTGCACAGGGCCGGGGCATTTTTGAACCCCACGAGCTTCGCGGCCCGGTCGCAGTCGGCGTCGCGCCGTGCCATCACCGTCACCGGGTGCGTCAGCGTGTGCCGTGCCGTTTGGGATCCGCGGTTGGAGCGTCGACCCTCAGGTGGATCGTCGAACAGCGCAGCGGCTCTTCGTGTGCTCGGAGGAGATCAGCGAAGCTCTGGGAGCTCTGCTGAGACCGAGTTTTCAGGAGGCAGTGGCGTGCAATGATGGGTGGGTGTGTGTGTGTATGTGTCCCGTGAAAATGCGATTTGTTTCATTTGGGTTGAGAGTACGAGACTGGACCCTGCAAGTACCAAAACGTGGGTAGCGGGCAGGTAGTACCTGCATTTGTTTGTTATTGATATATATATATATATAGGGTCTCATGTTCAAGGGTAGATTTTTGTGTCCAGGATGTGTAGACATTTTTACATGATCTCGACTATACAAAGAGGTTGGTCAGGAGGTCGCGTCTGAAAGCCCCCAGACGGGGGGGATTTGATGGTGTTCCATTGGAGCGTCCAAGCAACGATCGGAACCAAACGTGGATCATGGGCACTGGCTCCGCAGAGGTGGACAAAGAAAGAGCACACATGGTGGCACAGCACATCGTTTGCCACCCTTTTTGTTGACTTCTTGCTACTAGTAGCAATGCCCTTGTTACTAAGCTTTTTGCTACTAGTAACGCCAGGAGCTACTAGTAGTTTCTTACTACTAAGTACTGTCATTTTCTGAACTTTTAGTATACATAGTGCGCATATATGCCATAGATGGTGTGTTGGATGGGAAGCGGTGGTGTTGCTTTTTGCGGAGTCTGCCACCAGGTTTGGGTTTCTCCTTGGCTGCGCTTCCTACGTTACAGGAGCGGGCACAAGTCGGTGCATGAAAGAGCCCGACTCCGCTTCGTGCCAAAGCAGGACATGCGCTCTATTTTATATTCACAAACAGGTACGAAGTACTCTTTTTCCAAGATACGAACTGAGACTCCAGGTAGATTGGTTTTAGGATGGTTTAGGATGGACATAGACCAACTGCAAAGTGGAAGGTCAGGGATTTCTTCAACTAGAAGACATAAGACATGCGTTGGACTCCAATCACAGGACGATAAGGGTATGGCAATCGGAAGGCTATGTTGGGAGCGGTTGTGGAGCTTCAGGTGGCAACAGTTTTTCATAGTGGCCCAAATCATTCCTGAAATCATCATGGAAGTGGCAAATCGTCATCCAATCATATTTCTATCTCAGAGACCCGCTAAGGCCTCAGAGTGACACTTGGCCCAGGAGTGCAGGTGTTCCTTTGGCACCGCATGTGGACTACCAATGGCTTCCTGGAGTCTAGGCCCAAACCTTGTTTTTCACGTGGCCCACGGCTACTGGACCGGTTCTCCGTGCTGAAAAAGGCGGCACCTTCCAAACCTCAAAGATTTGAAGCCAAAGACCGACCTCGAGTTGAGCTGATGGGGTTTCAGAAGAAGAGTGCACGCAACTCTACTTGTTTTGGGGAGGTGTTCGGATGGTCTTCATGGACAGTCTACTATTTGATCCTCATGGTGCGACGGTCCAGATGCTCCACATGAGGATGGGAATCTCGCGGAGGTGAGTGGGTACTGCCTAGAGAGAGGTTCTCACCTGGAGCTACTGAGGACGTCCCCATACATTCCACTGACCTGCTGAGGATGGTCTTGGAGGATCGTACGTACGAAACCACAGAAGGGTCGTTGCCTGGCCATTACCGGGACATCGAACCGAACGGTCCTGGTCCTGCACCCTTTCAGGATCCGTGAAACGAATGGGACGCGTGGAATCCGATTGACCTGCCTTGTCCACAACGGTTTTGTAGCCAAGCGATGGCCTCCAACCAGTCCTCCAACCTACAAGCGATGGCCTCCAACCTACAGGCGATCGCCTCCAACCTGATAGCAATGGCCTCCTATCCACAACCTGAGTTTTGTAGCCAAGGATACGTCTCTGCGAAGATTCCGGGCTACTCACCCGCCCGTCGAACTACACACAGCTTGCTCCTCTATTTGACGGATTGCTACGAAGGAGGACGGAGACGGAAGATGTGTCGTTTCGAAGGCTTCGCTCCCACATGCTGCCTCATACGAGGACAATGTCATAACATGTCAAAACAATTGAGGACCAGCGGGTATCCTTTCCTTTCTTCTCCTGTCCACTAACAGAGCCCCCCAAAAAAGACCGGTTGACCGTTTTCCCTGACAAAACTTCTTTGGGATTCGGACAGAACCATGTTCCTGTCCAACAGTCGCTGGAGGACAACTGTGTTTGTTCAGAGGCGTGATCCAACCCGTCTTGAAATAGGGTCCACGAGGTACCTCCGGTACCTTGTGGTACTCAGGTACTCGTGGTCCAGGATGTACTGACTCGTGCCTGTTCGACTGTCCTCTTGTAGCTGCTTTCACCTCCCGAACATTTCCGAACCATCCAACCCATGAGATATTTGGACTCGAATAATTGAGCCAGCCCAGTTTGAGAATGGATTGAGACTGGCTCATGCAACCTTGGGACGAAGTCTACAGCACGGAGTGGTTAAGGAACAAGAAGTTTCTGTGTAGCAGCTGTAGTTTACATCACATCGTTACATACATCCTTTACATTGTCAAATAGATGGCAACAGTCTCACATTATGACTGCAAGGCTGCTTGTTGAGGCTGGTGCCATGGCACAAAACCCTACGCCATCATATGATATCCTGAATTTTGTTGTTTTTAATGGTTTTGCTGGGTCTGAATACCATCCGAGACGGTAGACCTGGATCTGTCTGAATAGGCAGCTGGGTTGTTTGGCTATGGGTCGTGGCACTCGAGCATTTTGATTCGCATGCCTTAGGGGCCCTTTTGTCAACAAGCCTCATGAGCACCATTTTAGTATCTGCCAAGGTGATCCACGACTATGTATTATACTATATATATGCTGGTTCCCGGAGTTTCAACAGGAAACTTTTGACAAGAGGATGCTGCAATAAATGGTTAGGACATTGTTGAAATTGGATTGGGTATATCTAGGATACTTTATATAGGTGTGTTTTGCATTCTTCATTTCCTCGGTGGTCACTTTCTCCGAGCGATTTTCGCGGCAGCGAGGAGAAACGCGGCTGCTGCACCAAGGACCCAAAGGCGGCTTTGGCGCTGCGACTTCAACGGATGCGGCGTGCGGATTTCCGCGGGTGCGGCGCAGGGCATGGCCCTAGGGATGCAATTGCTCTCGCAGAAGAGAGATGTTTGCAATCGGTTTGGAGGTCCCTGCCTACATTCGAAGTGTGGATCCATGTCCCTAAGGCCCTAAGGATGGAGTAGTGTCAATAACTCCCCCCAGAAGGTTTGCCATGTGAAATGGTCAGACAAGTGCAATTTGACTTTAGCCGCGGGGTGGTCAATCAGGAGAGGTCACCAAGACTAAATCTTTTCATGAGGAGGGATCCTCAACAAGGTCTGAGGTACCATAGGAAGTGGAGGGTGGCCCCCAAGAAAGGCAAGAAAAGCAGTTAGAATGGAAACTCCCAACATTGGTAATCTTGACCTCATGTGCACTCTTTTGCTAAAGCACCAGCTCTCGTGAAACAAAATCACAAAACCTCAGGTAAATGCTGAGTCAACATGTTATAACAGATTCACTGTGGAATGAAATTTGTGAATTTGGTGCATCTGTATCCAAGTGCACTTGTTCCAGTGAAAGTTTACCGAAAGGTTCATGCAACTTTCACTGCACGTTTCACTGAACTGTCTTTGGTGCAATCGGATTTTTCATGAACTGCGTGCAACGCATAATTTGTTGTTTTTGTTAACTTAAGTAATGACAACCAACATAAACAATGAGTACTTGGTGTTCAGTTTTTGACAGATTGAGATTTATTTGTACTTGTGCTAGGTCAAAACTATCCAGGTAACCATAATCAACAACCATAAACGCAACATGTGAAGTGAAGAGTGCCCAATGCACGCGCAATTGAGTTCAAGGGAATATTGTTTCAATAAGAAAGCTGAACTATTTGCGCAAAATAGAACAACATTGTATGTCCCACCATGGAGGGCATCGCAATTCCTCACACTACAATGTAAGGATGATGTAAGCACACAATAAAACACCGCGTTCTTTGATGTTACATCAAATATAACTACACACACTTAAGGAACAACTACAAAGTTACAGAGGTCACCAGGGATATGAGCCAAAAAGATCCATGCAGGATTCCATAAAAGTGGATCCAAAGCAACGTTCCATGCCATTCGGGGGTATATCAATTGTTATGGGAAACTGACCAGTGCCATCGGCCCTCCGTTCCATGCCATCCCGACCTGGTGTCCATATATCGTCTCAGCCGATTCGCTGACCAAAAAGTGGTTTGAAGAAACCTCCTCAAACTTTGATCATATATATATATATAAATTTGTTCCATTTTTAAGATTGAACACCAACACTCTTCCAACAACCTCAATAATAGTAGCACTCATGTTCTTTTTGTTTTTCTGTGTTGGACGATGTTGGGTCCGAGGATGTTTATCTTTTCTTGGCGCGACCCCGGTCTCGGGCTCGCTGTTTCGTGTTGCTGGGGAGTGGATCATGCAGAGAAGCGACCGAGAGTCACATTGAATCAAACCCAATCAACGAAAATAGACCTGACCCATTTTCAGGTCTTCAACTCAGTGGTGACAATCGGGGCTTTCTAGGTTCTTACAGTAATGTTTCTGGAAAGAATGGATCTCCAGAAGATCGTCGCAGTTTCAGGAGCCTCGTTTCTGCGATCGAGCTTTGATTCCTGAGACTGATGGGGAAGCCAGACCCTGGGGGCTGGGCCATACTGTTTGACCCGACTTCGTTGGTAGACCAAGCGAAAAATGGGCATGTGACCAATGTGACCTGAATGAATCACCAGCTTTAACTTGGGTTTCCATTTGCAGTTCAGTTTCCGGGGCGGGCCCAGGTCAAAACCAGTTCTTGACCAGTCCGGAGGTTGTGGGGGTTGAGCCTCAACGCTCATAGCGTCGTCGATATATATGTGTCTGACACCAGGAGAGCCACCAGACGTCATGGCGTGCGTGAGTGCGAGGCAGCCTCGTGGTATGGCGAGGGGTGGCAGGGCTTAGGAACCGCAAGCATTCACATCTCTATGACAATGAATTCTTCCTCAGGATTACTTGTCACTTTTCACCAGAGCCTTTTAGGTGATTGGGAAGAAGCAAAGGCCTTTTCCCATGCAGAGCCTAAAAGGGGATCGTGAGTTTGGGGGGTCAGACGGGTCCCAGAAAAGAAGACAACATTGCGAACGGGTTCATGTTCTCCATTGTCCTCCTATTCGCTCGGTTTTTGTCTGGTACAAGCGTCTGGAACCCGCCAGGGTTCCACCAGTCGAGCAACTGGTCCTGGCCAGGCGTGGGCGGGTATTACTGTTCCCGCACGAGCTTCTTCATGAAGGACTCTAGGATGTTTGGGCTGCCGAACGTGTCAAAACTTTGGTGGATGATCTAACAGCACCTGAAATCTCGACGCACACACTCTTGATGTTTTTGAGTCACGTCCCCATGTTTTTGTACAACTTGGAGGGTCCAGGTAGAGTGCAACTGGAAAAGACGTGCCATAGACACTAACGTCTTTTGGGTGAAGCAATGGTGATGACGCATCCTTTCGTGCACCTGGATGCTTTGTTTATAGATGCATCTTAGATGCATCTTAGATGCAGCTTAGATGCATCCTCACTTTCGTCTCCTCTTTCACCCTGAGTTTTCAGAAGACTATGTTCACATCCTGCTCGAAAATAGGATTGCTGTGTTCATCACCTGTATCATGCGAAGTTATTATATATATACAGATACACATATATATAATCCAAGACTCAAAGATAGAAGATATTCCCGAATATTCTGAATTTCCATATTCTATTTGAAACTGCTTTTGGCGTGCGCGAAAAAAAATCAAATAGAAGATAAGGGCTTCGCCGGAGCATAAAAGAGGTGTTATATCATGTTTTATAGCTACTTTTGCAAAAACCACTAAATAGCCTAATACCTAATATCTTCTATTTGAAACGTGTCCGGTGAGGTACATCTTCTATTTGAAATGCTTGTTTTGGATCTTCTATTTGATTTCATTTTTGGTCCATGCAGATTGTTTCCTTCCTCGCCGGTCCATTGTTTCTTCACTGCAGATGGCATCTCTGGGAAATATGCAAGCATTGATGAATAGATATGATAGATAGATACATAGATAGATACATATTCACAACAAAACAGCAAGACTATCAAGAGGCGTGGCCTATTTGGGAAAGTACCTTTCACGAGACCCCAATGGGACTGATCTTAGGGATAATTATTGCAGGGCCTGATCTTCTTAACTTTGAGGGAGAAACTCTGGTGAGAGCCATGGTGGACACGGGGCCACCAGGGCCTCTGGTTCAATCCTTCACATGGGCAAGGGAATGCTTGAAATACTTGTGCGACAAAGACAAGGCCAACTTCCTACTCCAGCTTGAAAGTGCTCCCATGTCTACATGGTTCTCGGGTTATGGCTGTGCAGAGCAGGCGATGGCAATGATCAATGCTGCCAGGCTAGAAAAGAGGAGCGGGGAGGCATTTCAGCCTTCCCACCAGTACGAGATCAACTTCAAGGCTCGCCAGACCTCCTCGTTCAGGTTGCCTGAGCACACCTGCCAATTCATAGACATTGGCCGGCTTCTGAACGTCGATGACATGAAGGAGCTGAAACAGCTTGAGAGTGCGAGCGATGAATTGGGAGAAGAGGTTTGGAAGTTCCTCAAGGGCAAGAAATTGCAAACTACAGAATTGTGCTCGCGGCACAAGCAAAGGCGCTGCCATTTCAAAAACTTAAAATCAGATAGAAGATATGCACAGATAAAGGGTTTCACTTTTGTAGTACTAGCTCAAAATAGGTAGGACTTCTGGCAGATTCAAATAGAAGATATTGTGTATGGTGTCCAAATTCACTGTACTGTATTTGCATTGGAAAGAAATTAACTGAGTTTAAACCGAGTCTTCAAATAGAAGATATATATATATAACATCCCTGGGCAAGATAATGAAAGGATCAGCTTTGACCTTGAGAGGTGTCCGATGCCAATAGACCTGGCCAACATAAGCGGCTCAATGTGCACAGCGTATTCAACATTGGGCAAAAAGGTGGATGGCCACCTCCAGCGTGAGAACAGTGAGCAGAACAAGTTGCTTCTCTTGTGGTCACTGCACCACGGAAGAGCACAAACACCTATGCTTGTGCACGAAAATGTGAGAAACTTTGGTAGCGAGTACCTTGCTAACAAGCTGGCTGAATTTGATTATGTGCACATCGCAAGCATCAAAACAAAACCATCAGATGCAGCCATTGTGGCAAACTCTCGCGACAGAAAGAGACTCGGCTATATATATATATATTTTTTGTATTATATTGACATGCAATTTTGTGTTCAACATCACGTTATTCCAATTATATACGTACGCCGCCCTTTCAAATAGAAGAAAAATGAAGAACATATGTGGGCTTGAATTTTTGACATCAAATCATGAATCAATCAAGTATTTCAAATAGAAGAAATTCTACCAACTCGGCTGTATACACACACATGTGTCTTCCAAATGAGCTTATTCTAAAGTTAACATATGCCTTTCAAATAGAAGAAAATATGTTGGTGTCAGTTTTTTGACACCAAAGCAAGATTCAATAAAGTATGTCAAATAGAAGAAATTCTACCCCCATCACTGCTTAAAGCATAAGGTACGATGTCTTCATCCTTGAGAAGTACTTCAGCGTGGTTGATGACCCCGAAGCGGTCTACTTGGAATTGTCAACAATGCTTCAAGACAAAATATCCCCAGTGAAGATGGAGCATATTGCTTGGGTCACTGAGGAGCGGGATCTCTTGGAAGAGATCTCTGAAAGCGCCAACAAGAATGCTGCAGCACCAACGGGCAAAGTGACAGCTGAGCACTTGAAAGATTGGTTGCAGTTCCTGAGTGCTACTGAGTTGCAAAACTATGAGGCCTACCTTGAGAAGTTGGGTTTGGGAAGCACTCCGAGGGAAGAACGTCCTCTACGAGCAGTGGCCGTGGGGCAAAATCCTGACAAACTATTTATGGCTGGTTCGGAGAAGTCACTCCCAGCCTTTGCCCGGGACTCCACCAAACGGCTTATGCTCACCAATCTGGACAGATGGTTGACAGCTGGTGAAAAAAATGGCATTGACTGGATTCCCTGTACACAAGGACTGCCCCCATGTCTGAAGGGCCACTCAAATAGAAGATATGGACAAACCCATTTCTTCTATATATATATAGATGTGTGTACTGGGAATAATAAAGGCCTTTTGAGCATCCAGAGATGGTTTGATGCAGGACTTGGCAGCAGCAGCAGGCGTTCCACTAGTACCAGTTGGAGCATCCGATGGTTGGCACCGTGGTTGCGGCAATGGTATGGTGGTGGCAAACTGTGGCATGGCCCTCCTAGCCATCTTAGCCTCATTAGTGCCCAAGCCGGAACTACAGGCCAGTGTTTGGAAGCACACTTCAATTCCTTGTTTCACCTTCTGCTTAAAACAGAACCCTTAAAGGCTTTACCCAAACTCTTATATATATATATATGTATAAGACTCATATTTAATATGGACGCTCCGGCTAAACCCATTTCTTCTATTTGATTTGTTCTTTTTGCGCGCGCCGAAAGCATGTTCAAACATAATATGAACAATTGAATATTCAGGAGTTTCTTCTATCCTTGAGGTTTGGATTATATTTAATGCCATGCCAGGAAGTCCTGGACAGTGCCAAGACCCAGCATTTAACACAGGGCACCCCGGAGTCCCTAAAATTCCATGGTGGATGGAAGAAATGGAGACTGGAGGTTTGCGGGATCGCGCACACGTTTGAGAGCAGGGAGGTTGGGGTTCAGGCTGCTCTCTGGATTCGCGATGCCCAGAAGGAGCTAGAAGGGGCCTCGAGGAAAGTCTTGCAGAGCCATTTGCAGGCTGCAGGCGTCAAAGTTCCCAGGACCAAGGATGATATGGCAACTGCGCTGATCCGTTTCCGCTACAAAGCCAAAGATTTTGGCTGCATCTGCTGCCAGGAGGCCAGAGAGGATGTTGAATTGGAAAGCCCTATACCCATACCTTTGAGAGGATTGCCAGGATTGCGTCATCCTAAATTTGGTTTTCTTGCACCCACAGGTCATTTCAATGGCACGGCTCTCCTGATCTTCTGTTTTGTTCTTTGTGGAACTGAAAATGTAACTGACAAACGCTTCAGGTCCCAAAGCCTCAGAAGGAAAGCAAAGTGGAGGCCATTGAGTTTTTGAATCCAGTGTGTTTACGACGGGTCAATTCAGCTTGTATTCAGACTACGCTGGTATCACATAGAAGATATGAGAGGCCCATACCTTCTATCTGAAGCATTCCGCTGACATGTTTTTTCCTGTGAACTTCTTGTCCCAGTTAGCTCTGGGTTCAAAAACGGCCGTCTGACCCAAGTTGGAACTCTTGCCATGGAACTGGTCTTCTTTCTGGGTGTTGCTGTTTGCCTGTTGTGCTTCATCTTGGGAGCCGTTTGTGCTCTTGGCGCACTATGGATTGTCCGTCTTTCCGGAAGATTGGAGAACAGTGAAGTTTCTGCTACGCCTTCTCAGGCCCGGGGCCGGCCTGCCAGTTTCAACCCTGGTGATATTGCAGTGGCAACCATGGAGAGATTGCTCTCACCGCGGCCACCACTCAGAAGGTTGAGGGCAACTGCTTTTCCTGACGACGATGAAGAGACCGAGATAGAGCCGACCTCAAGTCCTGGTGCATCTGCTCCATCAGCCCGTTTCTTGGATTCACCCGAATCCCCATGGGAGATGGACAGCCCAGGGGGAACAAGAACAAAATTGGTGAGAGCTCATGTGAAGTGCAGCGCTATCCGTCAAGCCTTGAGTCATCGTTGATGCTGAAGGACAGTCAGCATGCAGGGCAGTAGATTCAGGTATCTCTATATATATAGATCTCCGACCTGTGCAGCGTGGATCAAGGTCAAAAAAGACATCCGCTGGCCTGTCCATATATATAATATTGTATATATATATACATATTATATATATATACATATCCAAATGCTTTCGTTTCCATTAATTTCTTCTATTTGACCTGCCACATAGTAGCCATATAGTATATACCTATATGTCCAGTTTGAACCAT